TGTGTGTGTGTGTGTGTGTGTGTGTGTGTGTGTGTGTGTGTGTGTGTGTGTGTGTGTGTGAACAGGCGTGTTTATCAGCCACCCTGAGTTTTACTGCCTGTGTAAAAAACACTTCCCCTCCAAAAACCAGAAATGTTTTGATCCACTGCCACACATGGTTAAGCATTCAGCACCTGACTCTGCCTGGTTTCACACAAAGACCCGAGGGGGAACAGAGAACGAGGCGCCACTCAACAAGGTCCAACCTGTTGTGGTGGAACTAATACTTTTAGGTTTAAGCCAGTAATTTAGGACATACTTTAATGACCTATGGTTTTCATGACATGCTGTTCATCTGCAGACAGAATGATTAAAGTCAGAACAAGATCTGGTAACAACAGTCATTCTTAGATATCACTTGTGTTTATCTTTGTGTTTTCCATTGACCTTGTATCAAATCTTGCTAAGATGACAGAATGCTGTTTGTTGATATATATATATATGAGGCCTCTCAACACTGTTCAACAGTAGTGTGGAGAGACAGTGACAGAGAGAAGCAGAGGCACAGAGACAGGACAGGTTGTTCTCTGTGTTTCCTGTTGTTGCAATAAAACTCAGCTGATCATCTCACNAGTCTTATTTCTAGCAGCAGAACAGGGAAGATGGTTATTTATTTATTTTACATCCATTTAACGCCATGTTTAACGTGTCAACTAACCAGGCTTGGAGATGTCTGTAAATTTCAGGAAAAAATCTCAGGCTTCCGTTATCTCGTGCGAATCCACATAAAACACAGACGTTGGAGAGTAATTTTTTTATTACATGGGGTCCCCAGATAATTCTTATCCCATACGAATAGGGCTTTATCTGTCCTAGCCACTCACCTGTCCTCTSTTTTCCAGAGTGTTCCTGCCTGAAAGTCCCTTATCCTCTGCAGTTGTTTTATTGTAATAAATCCTGTTAAATCTCTGTTTGGCTGAACTACCGAATCCAAACTGTCAACTCAGTCAGATAAATAGTTTTACTACAATAAACTTGTAGTTTTACTATGATAAATTGTTTTTCTAAAATAAATTTGTAGTTTTTTATGACTTTTACTACAATAAAGTTGTAGTTTTATTATGATAAATAGTTTTACTACAGTAAACTTGTGGTTTTTTATTTTGATAAACTTGCAATTTTATTATGATAAACTTGGACACCGGAGCTTCCTTTATACATACTGTATTTGTTCAAATGAATTGGGCATAAAACAAGAGCAGGTGTGAACAGATATAAGCATAAGAAAAGTGATGCCAGGCTGAAGTACTTTGTGTTAATCTGTATTTAGTGCAAGTTTCTGTTGTTATCCCATGTTTAATTCAACACAAGTAGCATGTAGAGTAGCTCCAGGGCCTAGCTGACTCTGGTTCTGGTTTCTCCTTGCTGGAGGAGCGTCTGAGTCGTCAGCAGCTCTCTACGTTCACACATTTTGGACGTAAAGCTTTCAGAATGCGTTCACTCTTCGTAAGATCCACAGGAAGCTGATTATCCTGCAAAACACAAACAGTCAGTGGTTTTATTGGCTTAGCAGGGGTGGGCAATCCTGGTCCTGGAGGGCTGTAGCCCTGCATGTTTTACTTTTTTCTCTGCTCCAACACACCTGATATGAAGGAATAG